AGGCTTTCTCTTCCTCGAGGCACTATAGAGAGTTTATCTTTTGTCTCCTCACCAGTGTAAAGAGCATGCTTGTTATTTCAGGCTCCAGCCAGGTAGACCCTAAGAGTGGGATGCTTAGAGTAGGCACTAAATAATTGAAGGCTATTTAATCTGGAAGGCGCAATTTCATTGCTGAATATAGAACAAAGTCACCTGCTGCTTCCAGCAATTCCTATTCTTTCTGTTGAAAGTAAGCCAGTGTGTTTCATTTGTGCAAAAACAAAGCCATCCCTACCAGGTTTATTCCAGTATATTAATGTTTCTTCCACCACATGTGTGTATGTGTGTGTATAGCCATAGAATTGAAACCCTTGGCTATTTCCCCCCGAGGTATCTTCCATATCCCCTGACAACAGCAAGCTTGGTGGGAGCGATAACATATCCATGTTTCCAGTGACTCCTCCTAGTTAATAAGCACTTACACCCTGTTTGGAGAAAAGCCTTATTACTTTCTCTGAGCATGGTTCCCCCAGCTGTTTCTCTTCCGTTTGCAGCTGTACATCCAGAAAACTTCTGCCACCTGCCAGTTAATTCAATATATTCCTCATTCTTCACTTCTGATGCCATGCTATGTTTCTCAGTCCAGGCTAGAAGAATAATTTAAATATAAGTACATTGGGAAAAAACCTATCAGAATTTCTTGTGCAACGGTGCCCAGAACTTTAGCATGTAAGTCATGTAACATTAGGACAAGTCCTCAAATTTCCACTTCCTTAACATTAGGAGAACGATATTAAAGGGAGTTAGCACAGTGCAGAGCAGCCTTCCCTAACCTTGTGCCTTCCAGAAACCACAACAACCAGAATTCCTACTCAATGGCCCTGCTGGATGGGAATTCTGGAAGCTGCAGTCCAAATGCCTCTGAAGGCCACCAGGTTGGGGACGGCTGGTATAGAGGTTAGGGTGTTGGACTGAGATTTGGGTGACCTCCGTTCCAAGTCCCACTTAGCTGGAAAGCTCACCGGGTGACACTGGGTGGTCATGGACCATCAGCCTTACCACCTCACGGAGCCATGGTGAGGATGAAGTGGAGAGGAGAAGCTGGCTCTTGTATGCTACCTTGGACCACTTGGAAGAAATGCATGAAGCAAACCAATCGGGGCAATGCTGTGGGGATGTGTGGGACCCTCCAAGTTCAGAGGACTGCGAGCATCCTATGGAGGGTGGAAGGAGCATGGATGCTACCTTTTGCTCTGCAAAACACCCCGTCGTTGTTGTGCATCCCAATGCAGTGTTTCAGAGAGGAAGGGAAAGGGGCTGAGCACCACCAGGACACATTGCATCTGGGCTCCACTGGCCTTCTCCTTCCACATTCCCCCAGATCAGCTGCAAAACTCCTTCTGCAAGGCACACCCTTATGAGCTCTGATCCCCTGCTATGAGGCCAGAACAATTTTCTGACCTTGAAATTGGGAATCTGAAAATTCCTATGGCCATCTAGAAGCTGCCCATAAGTTGTAGGATTGTGTTGCCCATGGAACCTCCCCTCTTACATCCTTCTCCTGCTGCTGATCTGTCCTTCATGAGGCAGGACAGGATTTCCTGAGAATAACACGTTTGTGGCTTCTCAGAGCAGAACATGCGACAACGGGCTTGGAATACCTCCCATGACTGAGGCTGCCTGGGAGAGTGCCATTCACTGTTAACCTTTTTAATATTCTGCAAGCTAATTGTCTGTCCAGACCTCCCTTTCCCCCTCCCAGGTTAATGAGCTGGTTAAGAAGGGAGGAGAGGAAAAACTTCCTGATAGCATTGCCAGGAAAATGGAAAAGGTCAGGAAAATACATTCTATTATTATCTCTTGCAGGCTGTAGAAAAGCGTCCCAGATTTGGTGTCGCCTCATGATGGATTGTAACAAGAGAAGAGCTCACTGTTAAATCTGGTCTTTGTGACAATAATTATTGTTTAAAAAATGGGAAGTCTGGAGGAATATAACCTACCTTTTCCTAGCTGGTTTTCAGATGAAAAGAATACAGAAGGCCACAACTCTGAGACAATCACCAGATGCTATTCTTGAAAACAGCAAGTGTGGGTCTGTGTATTTCTGAATTCCTCTTTTGATGGTAATTACTGCATAGTGATAGTTTATCCTCCGGGGTTCCTTTTGCTTCTCTGCCCTGTGCTGTCTCCCCTAAGCAAATCATTTAACTTCTCAGTGGGTGACCACCTTCCCACCCTAGCCTTTCTTCAATTTAATCTTGCCACATGCTTGGCTTCTTCAGTGCTTGAGATGGAGTGGGCCAGGCTTTTTCCAAAGGGTTTTTCCCCCTTCTTCTGATAGAAAATGTACTTTTATCAGAAAAACCAAAAGTTTCAGGAAGATGGCCGACTAGTCATGATGGTTAAATACTACCTCTGCGACCAGAGCTGGCCCCTTAAGCTGCATGGGAGGGTGTGGGGGGGCTGTTCCCATGGACAGCTGATCACTCACTGTGTGAACAGAGTGCTGCATGGCTCAGCGTGGCTCTTTCTGTGTTGTGAGATTTCACAGATTTTTATCTGGAAGAGGAGGAATCCTTTAATTTTCCCCTTCCAAATAAGGCTTGGTTTTACAGTGTCTGTATGGGCGTGTAGAAAGTGGTCCATGCAATTTAGGACCCACGGAGCCTATGCCCAGCTACGAGATGGGTTGATTCCATGCAGGACACCACAGCCTTGAGATTTCAATAACTGAACGGGGCTGTCAAGGACAGGACAAATTTGAGGGCTTTCATTCATAGGGTTGCCATAAGTTGGAGTTGGTCCTGTGCCGTTTTTCCCAAAGGGCACTCATATTTTGAGGCATTGTCTTTTTAAAGGACTGCCCTGTCCAAATCCAGGACCATAAGAAGCCGAGAGCAGGAGCTCTGGAGCTACTCATCCGACATACCTGGACAGGAGATGGTAGCATAAAAGAAGCGCTCACAAAGTAACCTTAATGATGCACCTGCATTCCTGAAGAAGGGATGCTTGTCACAGTGCCATGCAATTCCATCAGAATCCACAACATCAGCACCTTTGCATTTGCCACAATACTTTGCAGCTCCATCTAGTTGACTTCAGTAGCTTAAGGTAGCTTGGATTATGCAGAAAACATTTGATCAATTTTTGATTCCATTACACAATTTCTTTCAGTTGCGTAAAGCAAGCTGTTATCATGCTGGTGGGCTTCTGTGTTTTGCATGCATTTTGATTTAAAAGCTTATGAAAATCTTACTGGGCTTTAGGAGACAATATATTACGGGCGTGCATGGCAAGAACACCACAGGCGTCCAAAGGGGAAACAAGCTGTGCTAGACAGAGCTCGTTCTGGCTGAACTTTGAGGCAAACCATTTAATGCTGCTATGCAAACAGTGTAATGGATCCAGGGCTCACAGGGTGGAAATGCTGGGACATTTTATTAGCAGGGACGATGCCCTGATCTGCCTCTCCATCGAGCTTCTCTGTCCCTCTGAATGATATTGAAATAACTGAGCAGGGGAGCAGGATGGATTTGCTCAGCCGCGATATGTTATTGTGTGTCATCCTTGTGGTAATGCAAAATATTTTGTGGTGACCCAGTGTTTGAATGGGAAATGAAAGCCATTGGCTCTATGGAAGGCCAGAGATGAAAACTGCTGGAATGGATCAATGCAGCCACTTGCAGCATCAAGGGGGAGCCTGCACTTCAGGCACTGCTATTCCCTGCTTACAGGAAATAGTCCAGAGACATATGATGGCACTGCCCCTCAGGTGGTCTGTGCCTGAGTAGGAGACTGCCTTCAGACCCAATCTATCTAACCCTGAGTTGCCACCTCTCCGGGCAAAGCCCTCCCAAGGCTGATTGCAAACTGTAAGCAGAACATTGCTACTTACGTAGCGGGAGACAGAGGCAGAAATTAAATGGTGGAGCAACTGCTAAATGACCTGCAGACGGAGTGGGATATGTTGTTGTTGTTGTTGAGAAGATGCATTTCCCATCAGCAATGGGAAGGAAAGGGGGAGCCTGGGGCTGGGCGATGGTATCATTCTGAAGTCTTGGAGCTGTGTGCCCTCCAGCTCCACTACATGGGTGAGTGGGTGGGGGCAAGGAGGTGGGATGGGACAAAGGGAACTGCCTTGCCTTCTGCTGCAATCGGGTGATTTAAGGTGTGTGGCCAGTCATGCAGTGAAATCACAGGCTCAAAGGGCCAGGACATCTTGAAAGCAGGTCATCTGGCATCATCTCCAGAGCTCCCTGTTCCTCTAAGCTTAGCTGCAATCAGTACCTGTGGAGGTGGGAGGGAACAGATTTTCCTGGTGACATTATGTTGCTTTGAGTGATCTCTGTTGCAGTCCAAGGGCTTCTGGGGTGGCTTGGCCTTGAATCTGCAATTAAGGCCCAGTCACTTTCCAAAAGACTGACTTGGAGAGGAATACTGTCAGAGCTCATGTTCTGACCTGGACCAACAGAGCTGCCTGCATCTCAGAGTGTCCTTGGGGGCTGCCATGATGAGCAGCTGCACCACTGATGGGAAGACAGCTATGGTCAAAAGCTTGCAGGCACTCCACATCCTCCTGTTCATGACTTGCATGCCGATGTGATTTCTATAGAAGAGAAGCCTTCTTTGCACCATTCTGGATGAAAAGGTTGCACACTTCAGTGGGCATCTTTTCCCAGAAAAGACCCACAGATATGAATGAAATGATTCATGTAAGAATCCACCAATTGGATTGTGCCTAAAAATAGGGGCAAGTTGCAGCAATCCATATTCCTGACCAGGTTTGAATATACAAGACCATTTGGCATTAAGAATCCAGTCAAGCATCCCATAAACGTTTATTCCTGTCAGAGGAAACTAATGAAGTGCAGAAGCTTGTTGCTAAAGATGAGCTGTATGGAGGGGACACCTCATTAATTTGAAGGCCAGCCTTTGTTGTCCCAGCTGTCAAATGCCCGCTATATTAATGTCCTCTGTTGCTATCTCTGGTGCAGGATGGGAGCCTCTTCCCCTCAGTAGGCCTAGCATGGCTGTTCACTTTGAAGTCGCTTCATCTTCATTTTCTGCCTCCTTGCTGTTCTGAGTTTTTTGGTCTTTAAGAAACTATCTTCTATCTGGTATAAGAAGTCTTCTATTATCCCAACCTGCATCCAAACACAAAAGCACGTGTGCTGTCAAACAACGAGGCATCCACAGATGCTCAGGTGCTCTTTTTTTTTGGATGGCTTCCCCTTCAGAATCATTTTATGATTTTCAAAACTTTTAAATTGATTGCATTGCAAACCTCAATAAAACAAAACCTTTAAAGAGGAGAAGAAATTACAAATATAACTACATCCATTCCAACACATCTGTTTCCATTGATATTTGTTCGGAAGCTGTGCTTGTCAGCCTTGTCATCGCCAACCACTGGGCAGCAGATTTGTTGTTTTTATTTTGTCTTTGGTTTTTTTGTGGTTCCTATGTATATTTTTAAATTCGTAACCTGCCCAGAGAAGTCAGTGGGATATGGTGCAATATAAAAGTATAACAACAACAACACGTGTTGTTGGGAGTGTGCAAGATGGCTGCTTTCGGCATTTGTTTCATGGGCTGCTGGCTGGATTTTGGAGGAATCAGAATCAGAATGTGAAGCAGAACGGGGTGGTGGTGGGAATCGGGGCAAATCTGAGACACTGAGATGAGGAAGCAGGGAGGTTTATCTCAAGGCCAGGCTTCCTGGATGGGTAGGCAGTCTCTGGGAACAGCCAAGATGTGCGGATGGCAGGGGGGGACTTGGAGCAGGGGAGTTTCTCAGACACAGATGAAGCGGCCCCAGCTCTTGACCCCATGGTGTGTCACCAGCCGAGAAGGGCTGCCCAATTAGATCACTCAGGAAGAAGGAGTGCTCACTTTCAGAAGTCCCCTCCTGGTGGGCTGGGCAGCAGGCACGCTCATAAAGCAGAGTTCTTGCAGGTGAATACTGGATTGGGTGCTCTGTGCATACTCAGAGATTTATTCTGAGTGTTTTGTGCTTTTTGGTCAATGAAATGCTTTGCAAAGAGAGCAACCTGTGGCTTTTGGAGGGACCCCGGCTCATGATTCATATGAAGTGTAGATACACACACAAAAGTATGACTTCCTAAGACATTATACATAAATATCAACAAAACACAGCCCCAATGTGCATATATGTGTCTATTCACAACTGGCATCTATGTACCACCTGTTCAAATACTGAAAGTGTCATTAGGTCATGTCTGTTGCATTATAGGAAGAGAGCATTTAACCCTCCAAATTTGTAATAACTGTCAAAGGGCACAGAGAATCCATTTACGCTGACCATGCGCTAACTTCCAGGAAGCATGGAGAAACAAAGTGATCTGGTTCAACATCTATCCGTGTCATAACTATGGATATAACTCTTCCTCAAAACAGATAACTTTTGGACATTGCCAAAGCATATGATTAAATGGAGCGTGAGTAATGTTAGAGCACCAGCATGCAGCTGGCTCCAACGAAGCTGAGTTCCCTGTTCCTGCTTAAGAGCTCGTACATCATGTTACTTTACTGACACAAAGTGTTTATAAATACGGATCAAAGGTCAGTATATATGATCAGCCTCAATGAGTCTTCCAGCAGCAAAGGAGAATTCAAAGCTGTAAAAGCAGCAGGGCCAAACTAGATTCTAACGTTGCAATTGCTAGCATTGACACTCAGTTGTAGCAGGAAAATTGTATTTGGCACACAAAGCCAAAAATGACAAAAACTCATCATCGGCACCCACTCATTGATCCAAGCAAAAAATCAGCTCCTTTGTTTGAGTCTGTCACAAAAACATTTTCTTACCCGTTTTTAAAATCTTGCTTTCCCCATTGAGTCCATTTAGCATGAGAAAATGTATCGGGGTGTAATCGATGTGATGTTATACACTGCACAACTCGGGCTGAGACTGTGTCTGTGTGCGCTCATACATGCATGCATATGCAACCCTCTTCCTCCTCCATAAGGCATCTGTTATTTTCCTGATGTGATTATAGTGCCTTCTTTCAGCTTGTGCATACTGCCATTGGGAATTTATCAAAACGCTGTCTTTAACTGGCATTGAAAAACAGCCACTTTGAGAAGGAAGGCATGCTGGAAAAATTAATCTCGAGCAAGTTTTCCTGATAAGGGGCGCTGGAGCTTCTGGCGCTTGCAAGCTGAAAGGCAGCGTAGGGAGAAAAATGTACATTCCATACTGCTATGGCAAGGACCATTTTTCTATGAAATCAAAATGAAGTTCTGAATAAATACATTTTCCTGAGAAATATCATTTACCAGAGGGGTTCAGTGAAAGAATAAGGATGCCAAAAAATAATTCTTACAGATGCCATCCATCTTCTTCAAGAACAAATCAATAATTATTTTAATAAGTGGCATATTGAAATGCCTCTCCCCCCTCTTCCCCGCATATATCATGAAGAGCTCTAAAACAATTTCAGAGAGTGTCTTTACATGTACAGATGAGAAAGGCAACCAGGTGTTATGAATGACACACACACACATACACACGCTCTCTCTTTCTTACATAGCTGCATAGAGTCATCACTCATTTTTATTCATGAGCATCAACATTCTCAGAAATGCAAATAGCCTGATAAAGTGAAAACAAGATAGCTGGAAGTTTGCAATTAATTATACACCAAACCACCTCCTTGCCTCACTTCTGAGATACGGGTATAAAAACCAGTGCTCATACTGGATTGCAAACTGCTTGGTCCCTTTTCTAAAATAAATAAATGCTTCCCTCCAAACACACACACGGACCCGGACATGGACACAGACCTTAGATAAGTACGTCACTTTGACCTTGGTCTGTGAGTGTATGTGTAGTCACAGTGGACCGGGAGACTATGCTTCAGTCTCCCTCCAGATCGCCTGCTATTGCAGGTATCTTATGGCAGTGGTCACACGTTTAGGGCTGCTTCTCCAAAAATGACCTTGACCTTAAAAGTAGCAAGGAATGGGAGGCTCCTTCATCAAGCTACTAGCTTGGCTTAAACTTACACTTTCTACAGGCAGGAAATACCTCATGTATAATGTGGTCCTAATGTGGTGCTCTTAAAATAGAGCAGCCAGGTTGCTGACGGGGACTGGGCATTATTCTCATATAACCTCAGTCCTCTACCAGCTTCACTGACTTCCCATCGAAGTCCGGGCTCAATTCAAGGTGTTGGTAATCACCTATAAAGCCCTTAACAGCTTGGGACCTGGATACCTAAAGGAACACCTGCTTCCATATTTGCCCTCCCACCCCTTGAGATTGGCAGCAGAGGCCCTCCTCCGGGAGCCCTCTGTGAGAGACATCAGGAGGCAAAGTACCCGGAGGAGGGCTTTCTCTGCGGTGGTGCCCCATCTGTGGAATGCGCTCCCCAGAGAGGTCCAGTTGGTGCCATCGTTATTTGTTTTTCAGTGCCAGGCTAAGACCTTTTTATTCAAACAATATTTTAACAACGTATAATATTTATAGGTTTTAATTGTGCAGCCAGGGTGTTTCCAGGTTTTAACTGTATTTGTATTATATTTATTTATTTGTGTGAGCCGTCCCGAGGCTATATAGCAAGGGGATGGCATACAAAACCTCTAAATAAAATAAATAAATAAATAAACAAATAAACAGGTCCCTTTAACATGGCTAAGATGGAGTCATTTAACATGGCCTAAATGTCTCTCTTCTGGCCAGAATTGCCTGCAGCTCTGGTTGTTCTGTGGCCATCATGTGGCGTTAAAAGTCATATGGTACCTGAAGAACCAGTGCCTGCAACATGCAGCAGCCTGTTCAGTTTAGAGCTTCAGCTTCTGGATCCAAGTGCCCCTCCTTCAGTAATAGTGCCTAGGAGGGTGGCAACCAGAAACTGGGCCAGCTCTCATGGTGGCATCCATGGTGTTTTTAACTCTCTCCATCCCTTTTCCACTCGTGCCAGGCAGCAATATTGCCCAGGCAGCAATTTGCAGACTGAAGCCATTTCATCATGCTGCTTCATGCGACGGCCAGCCCTACTCTGTTCTGCCTAGTCACTTGCTCTCTGATTTTTGTTGCATAATAAGAACATGGTAGCTCAGGACCACATTATACATGAGGTATTCCCTACCTGTAGAAAGTGTAATGTGTGTGAACAATTGCTCAGCATTGTGTTGTCGTTGCACAGCTCAATTTGTTCAACTTGCTCACAGGGAAGTGACTGGATTGCAGAACAACCTGAGTTGCACACAAGCAGAATAGAGTACCAGGGTGTGGTCTCTGACTCTTAGCAATACACATCAGGTTCCAGGCAAATTAGTTTTTTCTTTCTGTATTATTGTTCAACATGAGACTTCAGAAGAATTGCCTTCTGCTGTGGTGCATGAAGGATGGGAGGAACTCTTGACTACATAACTGGTTTCTACTGGTTTCCACATCTGATGATGCTTCTGTCATAGTATGGAAGCTAATCAATCCATAGAATTGAACTATATGAAGCCAGCCTGTGGAAGTATGGAGATATCACATGAACAGAATGGGGAGAAATACACATGCACACGCATGCACAATTCCCTTTATCTTTCAACAAGACACAAGGTGGAAAAATGCTACAAAAACGTCTGTTAGGCAATTATAGTGCTGATTGGTGGCTGCCTGCCTGCATGTCTGATTTTGAAAAGTGAACTTAGGATGTAGGGCACAGAAGAGACGGACTGGCCTTTCCCTCTTTCTGCCTTTTTAAAGATGCTGGTCTATTTGCCTTTGAAAAGAAGGAAAGTTGTGACGACGCATCTCCTTGGGAAATGCCAACATTTTAAAAAAAAAGAATTATTGCTGTGTGGAAAAAAGTTTAAAGTGCAAGACCTGAATGTCAGGTTGAAGAGCTGCGGTTGGCAGGTGGCAACTGAGGGGATATCAAAGAGCAGGTCTTCATTGAAGCTGCCAGTGCTTGCTGTCACAGGAACTGGGTTGTGTCCAGTGAAAGCGTTTCTGCCTTAAACTAGAAGGGACTGCCCAGAGAGGAGCAGAATTAGCTTTTTAGTGATTGTGTTCTGTTCTGTCTCCTGCAGCAACGTCTGGTACACTTGGCAAGGACATGGGAAGGGGCCTTCTTGAGGATGGCACCTAGGATCCTTTCTTAGAATGCTCATTTAGCTCCTT